TAGAAATTAACACAAATTGTTAAAGCACAAGAATATACAAGTACAAATTGCATTAGCCTTCAGAGTAATGACATCACATTATGTAGCCTCTGAAACATCACTGTATACTCATGAGAGAATAAGTGAAAAAAGAGCAAATTACATCTAAGTATTATTATGAAAACAGTTTTGATCTGATTAAACTCCTTGAGTCTCTGTGGGAGTCCCTGAATTACACTTTGAGAATTGCTGCCCTATAGTATTCAATTATATGAATGTCCCACAATTGATTGAGCCATTCTGTTCATGGACATTTGAATTATCTGCCTGTTGCAGATAATGCTGCTTTGGACATTTTTCTATAGTACATGTCTTTTGATGGATATACATTTCTTTTTGCGAATGTATCATGCATTTCTGTTGGGTATGTATAATACTTAGAATTGGGATTGATGGATCATCAGTTCATTTTTTAGTGGTGATTTGGAAGCGTCTGTAGGAAATTCAGGTTAGAGTGTCAGGAGGAAATTGGAGATGTCTATCTTTAGAAATCAGGAAAAAAAAAAAACCAAGGTTTGCATATCGCGATCTGGAAGTCTTCATTGTACAATTAATAGTCAAACCAAAAAGTATGAATATGATTGTCCAAAGCAGAGTAAGTTGCATTTAAAAAAAAAAAAGGACCAAGAACTGAACCTAGAAAAACATCAACACTTACCTGATGAATATAGGAAGGGAAGGCCATGATTGAGACTGAGAAGGAGTTGCTAGGAGACTTAGGAGAAAGTTGTCATTGTGGAAAACATACACTTTCCAATGTGTGGAAACACTGGACAGTGTAAATTGGGCTTTGCTGTGGAGTTCTTTTTATTTTTTATTTTTTTAGCATATTATGAGGGTACAAATGTTAAGGTTACATATATTGCCCATGCCCCCCCTCCCCCCTCAAGTAAGAGCTTCAAGCATGACCATCCCCCAAACATTGCACATCTCACTCATTATGTTTGTATATACCCATAAGGGAATTATGGATGAGGTCATTGAAGCACGGGGCGACTGGCCATCATCGGGCATCTGAGATGCACGCAACCGCCCAATTATTTCAAAAGGGCAAAGTGGGCACCAATCATTTTAAAGGTCAACACAATGATCCCATGCGTAGGTCGCTTGGTGCGCAGCTTGTGCCCATGGGGATAAAAGCATGGCTGTTGTTCCGTCGTCCTTGCCTGTGAGAGTGGCCACTGCGTTGGCCTCTGGCTTGGCCTGGCTTAGCTAGAAAATAAACGCCCCCCCTCCTCTGTTGATGCAAAAAAAAAAAAAGTCCAAACAATAAAATGGTTGGCATGGATGTGAGAGATAGAACGCTTCCTACCACCTGGCTGGTACGACTGCAACTCAGTTCAACCTCTGTGGAAAGCAATATGAGGATACACTTAAAAGCGATCAAGTATCTACCATTTGATCCAATTTATTACTGGGATGCTACCCAAAAGATCAAAGACTTTATTGCAAAGTGTGGAAACACCAAGTGCCCATCAATACATGAGTGGATTATAAAATGGGTCATATGTAGGTGCCATGGACTACTCAGCTATAAGAGACAGGTTGATTAGCACCATCTGATTTTCATGGAAGCTGAACCCATCTACTAGTGAGTATCTCAAGAAGAGGAAACAAGCACGGAGGCGCTTGGCTCACCTGTAATCCTAGCTCTTGGGGCCGAGGCGGGGATTGCTCAAGTCAGAGTTCAACCACTGAGCGAGACCGTCTCTACTATAAATAGAAGAATTATTGGCCAAGTATATAATAGTATAAACTTGCCGGGCATGTGCGCATGCCTGTAGTCCCAGCTACCCGGGAAGGGCTGAGGCAGAAGGATCAGCTCGAGCCAGGGAGTTTGAGGTTGCTGTGAGCTAGGTGACCACGGCACGTCCTCTAGCATTCAGGCAACAAGTGAGACTCTGTCTCAAAAAAAAAAAAAACAAAAAAAAAAAAAAAGAATAAAACAACACCACATGTACTACGCAGCAATTGTTTAATGATAAACACCTAAGTGGACATATAGGAAACGGATTTATTGGGTGTCAGAGGTGGGAGGGGGGAGGAGGGA